GCTTCCAAAGTAACTGAAGAGGAGGAAGATGAAGAGTATTTGAAGGAAGAAGAGGGTGGCTTAGCTGCATCTGGTAACACGAGGTTGCTCACACAGCCATCTTGTAAGTTCCTGTATTTTTGCTCGTTAGTGTATATTTTTTATGAGAGAAAGAAGTGCAATATGATTGACATCTCCGTTCATTTTCGTAATATATAACTATTTTTGTTACCTCACAGTTACTAGGTAGTATAGCGTAATTTTTTTATGGGAGATCTTAGGGTTCATCTTTTTCTTCTCAACTTGCAGGTATTCAAGGGAAGTTAAGAGATTACCAGTTAGCTGGTTTGAACTGGCTCATCCGGCTATATGAGAATGGCATAAATGGAATTCTTGCTGATGAAATGGTAAACAGTGGCTTCCCCCAGAAGTACAAGCAAAATAAGTTCTCAATTTTTAATCACTGAACCATTTTTTATCATGTGGTCTAGGGTCTGGGGAAGACACTTCAAACAATTTCTTTGTTGGCTTACCTTCATGAATACAGAGGAATCAATGGTCCTCATATGGTAGTTGCTCCAAAGTCAACCCTTGGTAATTGGATGAACGAAATTCGCCGGTTTTGTCCTGTCTTGCGAGCTGTGAAATTCCTCGGTAATCCTGAGGAAAGGGTAAGTCACGTGCTGTATGCCATCTCAGAGTTCATGTAAATGGTTAACCTCTTGACTGTGAGATGTCTGCGAAATAATGCAGAGACATATTCGTGATGACCTGCTAGTTGCTGGGAAATTTGATATTTGCGTCACAAGCTTTGAGATGGCCATCAAAGAAAAGACAGCACTGCGTCGCTTTAGCTGGCGTTATATTATCATCGATGAAGCGCATCGAATCAAGAACGAAAATTCACTCCTTTCGAAGACCATGAGAATTTTCAGCACCAATTATCGGCTTCTTATCACGGGAACCCCCCTTCAGGTGTTTGCTCTATCTTATTCGTGAATATTTGGACACTGAAGTTTTCTTGTTAAGTTGGCTCTGATTTTTTATGACACAGCCTTTCTGGTGTAAGGCTCTTTGTACTCATTGTTTTGTGTTCTATTCCTTGTTCCTTATGTTTTCTTCGTATATGCAGAACAATCTCCATGAACTGTGGGCCCTTCTCAATTTTCTCTTGCCTGAGATCTTTAGTTCAGCAGAGACTTTTGACGAATGGTTTCAAATTTCTGGCGAGAATGACCAGCAGGAAGTTGTTCAACAACTTCACAAGGTATGTATGAACTTATTGCTTCTATCTAGTTATCACTTCTTAATTGTCAGGCTTATCATTTTCTTGTATCTTATTAGGTCCTTCGACCATTTCTTCTTCGGAGACTAAAGTCCGATGTTGAGAAAGGTTTGCCACCAAAGAAGGAGACGATACTTAAAGTTGGCATGTCTCAGATGCAAAAACAATACTACAAGGCTTTACTGCAGAAAGATCTTGAAGCAGTTAATGCTGGTGGAGAACGTAAACGTCTGCTAAACATTGCAATGCAACTGCGTAAATGCTGTAATCACCCTTATCTCTTCCAGGGTGCAGAGCCTGGTCCCCCATATACGACAGGAGATCACCTCATAACAAATGCTGGTAAGACTAGCATTCAAACTATATCCTTCAGATGTATGTGTACATGTTTTTTTGAACCATCTTTATGTTCTTGTTTTCAGGTAAGATGGTTCTCTTGGATAAATTGCTTCCTAAGTTGAAGGAACGTGATTCAAGGGTTCTAATATTTTCTCAGGTAAACGCCTGGTACAGAAAATCTTTAGATAATTGCTTTTTATGGTTCATCTTCTCTGTTTCTTTTCCTTATTTGAAATGTTGTTCTTTTTGTTAACATTATGTCAGATGACAAGACTTTTGGATATTCTTGAGGATTATTTAATGTATCGTGGTTATCTATATTGCCGAATTGATGGAAACACTGGTGGTGATGAACGAGACGCCTCCATAGAAGCCTACAACAAGCCAGGAAGCGAGAAATTTGTTTTCTTGTTATCTACTAGAGCAGGAGGGCTTGGTATCAATCTTGCTACTGCAGATGTTGTGATTCTTTATGATAGTGACTGGTAAGTCTTCTCATTTCCATTGTAGTTTTTGAGTATGTTCTTCAGTTTTGTCGAGTCTGGTGGATTTTGGCAGGAACCCGCAAGTTGACTTGCAAGCCCAGGACCGTGCCCATAGAATTGGTCAAAAGAAAGAAGTTCAAGTGTTTCGATTCTGCACTGAGGTTGATATTCTCCCTTCTTGTATGTCAAGTAAGAACAAACTTTGACTGTTTGCATTAATTATGTATTGGTTGTTTTCAGTCTGCTATTGAGGAGAAAGTAATTGAGAGAGCTTACAAGAAGTTGGCGCTAGATGCTCTGGTTATTCAACAAGGAAGACTGGCAGAGCAGAAAAGTAAGTTTTCTAGCACGAGATTGCAAAATGCAGTGATTCATCTCTGACATTAATTTTATTATTACCATATATGCAGCTGTCAATAAGGATGAGTTGCTTCAAATGGTAAGATATGGTGCTGAGATGGTGTTCAGTTCTAAAGATAGCACAATCACAGACGAAGATATCGATAGAATCATTGCAAAAGGAGAGGAGGCAACAGCTGAACTTGATGCCAAAATGAAGAAATTCACAGAAGATGCTATTCAGTTTAAAATGGATGACAGTAAGGGTTATGGATCTTTTTCTGTTTCTGTTGTATTACTAGTGTAATATTTGGATAATCAATCGTCTTATTTGTCACAGGTGCTGACTTCTATGATTTTGATGATGACAATAAGGTAAGTCTTGGATATTTATTATTTAGTTTATGCTTTCATGTCTTACCCTAATATGACTTCTATGATACCAAAAATTAAATTTACTGTTTCTGTACAATTATGTTTTGTAGGATGAGAACAAGCTTGATTTTAAAAAGATTGTGAGCGACAACTGGAATGATCCACCCAAACGGGAGAGAAAGCGCAAGTAAGTGTTCTTTTTACTTATATATACAATGTTCAAGCCCTATTTTGTCCGTCCATAAACTTTATCTAACAGACAAAATCCATTTTGCTTTATCTACTGTATCTTCAGCTACAATGAGTCTGAATACTTTAAGCAAACATTGCGACAAGGTGCTCCAGCTAAACCTAAAGAGCCTAGAATTCCGCGCATGCCCCAGCTGTAAGCACCTCAATAAACACTACTCTGCATCTGTTAACTGCCTTTTCCCTGTCTAGTAATGTTTTTACCCTAGAAATCTAATTTGTTGTCCATCCCACAGGCACGATTTCCAGTTCTTTAACACTCAGAGATTGACCGAGTTGTATGAAAAGGAAGTACGCTACCTCATGGTAGGTTTCTGTAAATGAAATATTTCTCACTGTTTTTGTTGTGCTTGGGAGCGAGTTTTCAACTAGTAAATTTCAACTTTCTTCGCTTTGGTTTCAGCAAGCACATCAGAAAAATCAGCTGAAAGACACGATTGATGTAGAAGAACCAGAAGGTCAAGTTTCTCTGTTTGTGCTCACTTTCCTAACATCTTTTCCGCGAACCCATTACTGATTGAGAAACTTTTGTCTGAAGGTGGAGATCCCTTAACTGCTGAAGAAGTAGAAGAAAAGGAGAGTTTGTTGGAGGAGGTACGTTTTATGTTAAAGGTGTCTTAGACATTTTGATTCGTTGGGCCTTATTTTATTTGATTGTTAATCTTCAGGGTTTCTCAACATGGAGCAGAAGAGACTTCAATAGTTTTCTCAGGGCTTGTGAGAAATATGGCCGCAACGACATTAAAAGCATTGCCTCTGAGATGGAAGGTAAAACAGAGGAAGAAGTTGAAAGATACGCTCAAGTATTCAAAGAGCGATACAAGGAGCTGAACGGTACGTAACACAACACCTTTAGATGCTACCTCAAAAAGGAGCTTATGCTCATATTTCTCCTCTGAATCTGCAGACTACGACAGGATCCTCAAGAACATTGAGAGAGGAGAGGCAAGAATCTCTAGGAAAGATGAAATCATGAAAGCCATAGGGAAGAAACTTGATCGCTATAAAAACCCTTGGCTGGAACTGAAGATTCAATATGGTCAAAACAAAGGGAAGCTGTACAATGAAGAGTGCGATCGTTTCATGGTCTGTGTATATTTTCATCATTTCTTTCAACTGTTTTGTTTCACTATTACTATTATATGAAGTTTGATTGTTGGCTTTGAACAGATCTGTATGGTCCACAAACTTGGGTATGGGAACTGGGATGAGCTAAAGGCAGCATACAGGACATCGCCTTTGTTCAGGTTTGACTGGTTTGTGAAATCCCGCACGAGTCAGGAACTCGCTAGAAGATGCGACACTCTGATTCGACTGATTGAAAAGGAGAATCAAGAGTTAGATGAGAGAGAGAGGCAAGCTCGTAAAGAGAAGAAGCTGGCAAAGGTAAAACAATGTAACACATACATAGTTGTTATCTTTTGCTTATATTCCTCTTGATACTTAATACTTTCTGTTTAAATATTTGAAGAGTGCAACACCATCTAAGCGAGCTTTAGGAAGGCAACCAAGTGAGAGTCCTCCATCATTGAAGAAACGAAAGCATCTGAGATGATTATCTGAGCTCAGTTAAGCCTTTTCTTTTGTTGAATATTGTAAAACTAAGGTTAAAAAACTTAAATCTTAAACATATTAGGTGAACCTGGTTTGGTGAATGTTTGTCCTGGATTTAATGAAATGAATTAATTTGTATTATTTAGTCATTATATGCTTCAGGAACCTAGTGTGGCGTGAATAATTCCATTTATTAGCAATAATCGTTGTTCAAGAGAGAAGGAAAAAAACGAGAGAATCTATTATATATGGACAAATGGTAAATGACAGAAGCTTTGGTTTTGGTCTCTCTGCTTCCACCAAAATCTCAGACCCCAAAAATAATCTTCTTTACTCTTTTCTTAATGCTGTTTAGTTCATGAAGAATCAAAGGATGTTTCCCCTATTTTTATGTTTCAACTTGAAGAAGTCTTAGCTTCTATAGCGGAATCACCACTGGTCTCAGCTGGCTCTTCACGGCTCAAGCCACTGACTACTGCGGTGGGTTCATTGCCTGAACTTATTGGAGCTGATGTGCCGCTGAGTGAGGATGATCTAATTGGGTATGGAGCCACGGGGACATCGGTTAGCGAAGAAGCAGAAGGGCTGTAGCTAAGTGAACTCATTGAGTGATCAAACTTACACGCCGGTCCAAACTTGCAGATTCCGTGTTGCGCAAAGTGAGTGCATTGTGCTACGCCCTATGTCAAAACATATATATTGAGAATGTTTGTCTCAATACCAAAACTAGCTAAAAGGATTATCATGTTTTGTAAAATAGACTTACGGGACGAAGTGGAAGGCCAATGGAGCTGAGGACAACACCAGGATTAGGTTGAACTGAATCTAGAGGATGATGGTATCTACACGAAGATCCGAATCTACAGTCACCGGTTCTCATGAAGTATTGACACTCAGGTTGATCAGGTCGCTGAGGAAAAGATTGTTCTGTTGAGGTAGTCAAGGAAGGCCCACCAGATTGGTATGTTCCTGTATAAGCAGTCCCTGAAGGAGATAAAGACGCCATTCCATAAACAGAGCTTGATCCAATAGACGGTTGTGTTCCAGGAGAAGGCGAAGCCTAATAAAAAAACCAACTGATTCATTTAGCCAAAAAGGTAGCATATGAGTTGAAGGCGTTTGATATATATACCTGGTAAGGGTTCAAACTAGGGTATGTAACCATCCCTGGAGGCAGAACCATTGGAGGAGGACCGTAAGGACTTGGAAGATAAGAACCAGGTAAAAGAGAAGGCCTTGACAAAACTAAACCATACTGTTGAGAAGAAGGCATGGATTGAGATTGAAGTGTTGGATATATAGTCTGTAGTTGAGGCTGTGGCTGCTGCTGAGGTTGTCCTTGTACAGAGAGTGGAACGGGATGGTTGTACTTACATGTCAAACCAAATTTACACTGACCGGTTCTCATGTAATAGGAACACTCTTTCTCTCCCTGTAATAAAATTCAGAGTAGTTTAAGACAACATACGACACAATGTGTGGATGATCACTAAACCAAATACCAATTGAGCGATTATTAGAACACAAACCGGACGTAATGGAAATCCCAAATAACTTAACGAGACAGGCACAACCGAACCACTTCCTTGTCTAGGATGATGATACTTGCAAGAAGCACCGAACTGACATGTCCCCGTTCTCATATAATGCTGAAAAACAAAATGTAAAGTTCAAAGTTTTAAAACCAAAGCAGAGGAACTGAAACAGAGATTTGTCTTCATCAAAATTGAGTTAGTTACAAAACCTGACAAACCGGATGTCCCATCCTCTCCGGTAAAGCTCCATCTCCTCCTCCTCCTCCTCTCACACCTCCAGTAACCTAAAACACCAATTCAATAGCTCACTAATTCAACAAACTGATCTGAAACCAAAGAATCAAAATTAGCAAACATTCTTACCACTCCACGATCTCGCGGGTGATTAAACCGGCATCTTGACCCGTACCCACAAACACCGGTTCTCAAGTAATAAATACAATCAGGTTCATCGGATCGTTCCGGGTAACATTCTCCTCCAGCTCCACTTCCTCTCAACTCTAACCGCCCCATCGAAGCTACAAAAAAAAAACACGCATTTTTTTTTTCAAAACAGAGTATTTTAATCTAAAAAAAAAGCTAATCGCCCAATGAATCAAGTCCCTGCATTTAAGAAAGAACATTACTTTCGACTCCATGATAGTCCCATCCACTCGACGGATCCGATCGCGACCCTTCTTCACCGGCGCGGCGACCGTACCGTTCCATTTTTCTAACAAATCTCCCAGACACCTTTTTTAGCTTTTGTCGGAATGTCTGAAAGTTCCGATCTGAGAAGACTGTTGTTGAAAGAAAAAAAAGAACGCAGATCGTGGGGGGTTTGCTTCCACACTACTCTCACTCGCTTGATCTCTCTGTAGCTTCAAAGCTACAAGTAGAAACAGAACTAAAAATAATAATTAATTTTGTTTTAATATAATTTTCGGCTTCGATTTTTCCCCTTTTTTATCTATATTATTAAAACTCAAGTACCTTTTAGTACTATTTGGAAATAAGGATAGCAAAATAAATGAAACATTGTTTGGAAACATGGATAGTAGATTAAGTATTATCTTTTATTTGTATATTTAACCATTGTATTTACAATAAATTAAATACTTTCCTTTTGTATTTCTTTTTATTTACAGATTATGTCATTGCATTTAAAATCAGTTTAAGTTAATTAATTTCATTGATTTTTCTTTCTTTGTGATGAAAATAAAAACACAAACCGAAATATATAGTATACATTATATAAAATAATTTTTAAATATAATATTACCTTATTTAGTTTATTCAAATATAAATTGTGTGAATTCAATTTAAAAAATATCATAAAATTAATGATAATTCATAGAAAACTAATTCAAAAAAATAATTTTTAGTATGTTGTTTTATTTTAAAATAATTAACAAAAAAACAACATGTTAGTATATGAATAGTACGATTACATCAAATTGCATCAAGTTATAAAATTTTTAATATACTACTATGTACAAATAAAATTATTATTAAATATTTATATTATAAAATAATATATTTTACTTTATATGTAAATTACAAAACATAAAAAAAGAATTTGTAAAAAACCAACGGTTTATGAATTTAGGTTAAACACAAGTTAAATCAAACACCCGCACGGGGTGCGGGTCAAGTTCTAGTTTATTATTATTAGGAATAAGTTTTAATCTTTTGATCTTTCTTTATGCGTGCTCGCATCTTTCGTGGGTGTTTTGCCGGTGGTGGTTAATATACGCGCCAAACATAGCATTTTAGTCACTTCTCTTTATTTTTGTTTTTATTTGTTTTCTTCTCTTTTTATCATTTGGAAAAAATAATTAAAACACATTTAAGATGGAAATCTACAAACAATTATTAAAACTTTTTTTTTTGAGTGTAAGCTAAAAACTTAAAGTCAGGTTAAATATTAGAAAAGCTTATTTCCAATCACCAGGGTGACATATTGGGTTGTACTTTCTACCATTGCGTCTACAGATCTTGACTTATTTTATTTGTTGTTTTGAATGCTTCTTCTGCATCACGGTCGTCCATCAAACTATCAGTCATATCTCGTAAAGGAAAACATGCAAACATGAAGCAGCTAGGATCTATTCAGAATGACAAACGCTAAAATTGGAGATTTTATATGGCAAGAAAGAAAACGAGGAAACAGCTAGTCATGAAAAGGTGACATGAAAAGGTAAACCCTATTTTAAAGCAGATAAAGTGTTGAATACTTTGATTTTTAGTGGTTGGTGACATGAAAAGGTAAACCCTATTTTAAAGCCATTTTCTCCACAGTTGTAGCTTATTATCCAACATCCACTAGTATTTCCAAAATAAACAAAATTTATATGGCAAGAAAGAAAACGAGGAAACAAAAAAGGGCGAAAACTCCCAAGAGATCCATAGTTTTTGGTGTTAATGATCCGGTTACCAGAAAAGGTTGGATTATACTGGCTGTTCTCTGCGTTTTTGGAACTGTGAAAGGGATGCAGATTGATGGTGATCGTGTGGGATACAAGATGTATCTAGGAATGGCTTTCCTGTTTTTCTATGTGATTGACATCATCGAATCGTTTTTCTGTGAACCTCCAACTACAGTTGGCAAGGCAGGCCGATGGGTAAGAACTTTTGTCCCTTTGGTACTATTTATCATCATCTATTTTACCATCTACAACTTCCAAACCTTTCATGTATCCCTTCTGGTTTTATCCATCGTTTTTGGATTAGTTGTTTGGGTTCAGCTTGTTAGTCCAGTGGAAGGGTTTCACTTTGCTTATGTAGTTGTGATCATCATACTAGGATCTTATTTAGCTCTCTTGGCAAGTGACTATGATCCCAAAGTCCAGCCCTTTTGGTTCTGTTTTCTCTCTATTTTCTTTATTCAGTTTGTCATCTATGGTCTCAATTGCCCTTGTGATGGCATTGTATTCTTCAGTTTCTATTGAGTTTCCATCTTCTGTAACTGTCAGATCTCTCAGTGGTTTACCTTTTGGTCATCTTATTATGCGTTGTTGTTGTTCAATAATTTCTAGAACCTTGTAGTCAAATATTATCAGATGGAAACTATGTAATGAATTTCCACTTTATTGAGTATTTTGGTTTGTACTTACTCGGTTCGATCTCTATATTTGTTGCCAATAGTATGCTTGATATTCCTAACTTTCAAAACTGTCCAACAATCTTAGCATCACACACAATCAAATGATGCTAAAATAACACATTGGGTTATCTCTAATCTTTTTTCTTTGTACAACAAGGTTATCTCTAATCTAATGCACGTTTTTAAGCTAAATCAAAATATCGAGAGGGTTGATGATGACAAACAAAAGGCTCAAAAGACTTGGTCACTTCTTACAAAAAAAACATTATTGGACAACCTTACATTAAACTGTATACTATAGTCTATTAACAAACGCTATTTTTGCATTAAAAGATCTCGAGACAGTAACTAGTATCGCTTCTTCCATACTCAGGGATTGGTTACTATGGGATTGTAAATTCACCTCCATAATATATACTAGACCTGGGCGTTCGGGGTCCCCATCGGGTTATATAAACTTTTAAGATGGGCTCGGTTCGGAACATAATAGGTTCAGATCGGATCGGACCTTCAATTCAAGATCCGCTAAATCCCGAAATTAATATGGGCTCGGTTCGGAATCGGGTTTTGTAACCAAATTTACCTATTCTAAACCGAAATTACCTATTATTAACCGAAATTAACTCCATAAACCAAAAATAACTCAAATAATCCGAAAACACACTTTCATAAACCAAGTTAAACTTGGCAAGTTTGCACACACCAAAACAGAACTTGCTTGAGTTCAAAATGTAAACACACATAAACCAAACTGAAAAACATAAGGAAAGTACTTAGGAAACTTAATTATTCCAATTTGTCAAGAAAATACAGATTTTATAGGGATTAGTCCGTGGAATTATGTGATTATTATATTACTCTATAAAAATAAAAAACAATGTCCATATACCATAAAAACAATTTGAACATATATTAATATAAATTTAAAATGTGATTATGTATTTTAATCAACATTAAAGATCCTAAACTTCAGTATATAATATTTATCGGAAAACTCTATATTTTCGTTGGGGTTAACCCACATATTTGAAGATAAATTATAAAATATTATATTTTTATTTTAATGCATAACTTCATTATGCACTGTCATATGATGAATAATAAATAGGTTTGTAGGCGCTATGAGTCTCTGGACGATCACTATGAGTCTCTGGACGATCACTATGAGATCGTAGAAGAAGATCGATATAGTGATGAGATAGAGATCTGATTCTGATCTTACAAAGCTTGTATTTGACAGAGTTTCGAATATTGAAAATCTATCATTGAAATGGATTTTACATCAAGTGCATCCGTTCTTCTTTGTAAATAAAGAATTAAAAAAATGTCCTATAGACTAAAGAAAATTATCCATCTTCTCCATTAATTTCCTTCTTCAAGGTATTGTTGCCTCCCTTTGACTGAAAGTAGCTTGAGTCTCATTGTCTTGTCCACAAACTTAACGAGACAGTTGATATCTTTTGGTTGTTCTCCATGTCTTCTAGCATTTTGCTCTCTCCACACCCAAGAGCCCAAGGTAGTACTGCTCTTTATCGACCAAAAAGAGCACTTTCGAATCAAGTAACAGCGAATCCACCGTACCCATAGAGAAGACTTTGCTGAGAACAATCTCCATATGAGTTTCAGACTATGCACTACGTTTACTTCCTTCAAGGGCCTGATCCCTAATCCTCCTTCTGCTTTTCCGTGTAAGGAAATGAAGTCTCGTGCCGCCCATTAACAGTCATATGAAAACCTTGTAAGCCAAACCACAATGTGGCAGTGAAGGGATTCCCTCTGACAGAGATTCCCACCGACCAGTTCCTCATTCTAAGTACTGAAGTGAACCCAAACTTGAGTTTAATCATTTTCATGGATTGCATCATTATTCATCATTATTAACCTCATGCTGTTTTATTGGTTGAAAATCTGCTTGGTTTAGTTATCCTTCTAACTCTAATTTTTTTTTTTGGGTCAACTTTCTAACTCTAATACTCCATTCCTGTAATATAGCTTTTAGAGTCAATTTTACAAAACAATTCACAGAAGAACACCACATTAATTTAAATCTACATGTATACAACAAAGGAAGTAAATTACTGACTAATCACTTAAAGTTATACTATAATATTGCACACCCACGCTATGCAGAATAAAGAGAACTAATAGTATCATCATCCCCATTATTTATCAAAAGTCAAAACATACAATAGGGCCTAACATATAATACGATTATGGAAAGAAAAGATATGGTTCCATTGGACCCGTTTGAATATAGATAGTCACACCAAAAAATGTAAGAAGATAAAATGATGAAAACTTTGATTTATTGTGGTTGGTGAATCGGTGACATGACACTAATTAATCTACAAAACAAGATGACCTCAATGTATTTATAAAGTACATTAAACCCTACAGGGTGGGCGAATACATATATATATATATATATATATATATATATATATATATATATATATATATTATGCGATTACACTACGAATAAGCTAGTGACACAAACAAATACTTGAACGTGCATCTAACATCAACCGTCAGTTGATGTAAATCATCACTGGTTATGTGGATACATGTAACATAATGTCCACCGATGCTGCTTTTGTACTTAAGTTTAGTTAAACTGGTTTTGTTCAATTGATATAGTAGGCCTAATAATTATCAAGCAGAAGATGTGCTTAGTTGCATCTGATGCTGTTCACGTTTGCATATTTCCAACATGTCTATCAATTTAAGATAAGAAGAAGGTTGCAAGAATAAATCACACTTAGCGTATGTACAACTGCTCTGCGTAGGATGAGATCATTGACTTCGGGATCTGATACTTCAGCAACAAGTGCATCATATCCACTTCTTTTGCTGTTTTTTTTTCTCTCTTCTTCTCTTTGGATTTGAAGGTAACCGCTAGAAGCTGTGTGAGTTTCTTGAACGGAATCCAAAGTTAATGCAGATGCTACAGGTTGTTTTCTAAATCCGTTCTTCTCCTCTTGTGTTGTATAAGTACTTGTTTGCTTCTCGTGTGCTTTCACATTGGTGATAAGAAAGACTAGGGCAATTGTGAGAAGAAAGAGCGACTACTCAGCAATATGAATCCCTCGTTTACTGGTTGCTTTTCAGTTGATGTGTAGTCTGTAGAAACGACGCCGTTATTTAGTTACATTCATTTACTTTAGCAAAGAAGTATGGAAAAGTAACTCAGCGCTTCTTATAAAAGCGATAATCATGCATGAGTTTGTTTGTAGATTAGGGAACACGCATAGTTGTCTTAGAAAGTTCGGTATTGGATACCAACTTAAAGGGTTTTTTTTTTTGAACACCCCAACTTATTAATATGTCGAATCTTAGAGCATCATTATCAAGGATCCCTTCACCTGAGTCCTTTAAATCCTCATTTAAGGGACGTTTCTTATGGTTTTTAGTTAAAAACTAAGAGACTTTATGTTAAGGGACTCCGGTTAAGGAACCCTTGATAATGATGCTCTTAGCTTCCTCTTTCATCTTATAGGTCAGAGTAGGAACTCTCTTTAATTTCAATTTTTAAAAGTCGTTATCCATAGTTAAAAACTGAGTTGTATGTAAGCAGTAATCGTAATACATTTTTGAGTTTAGGGTTTTCTTAATAAATTAAAACTGACACTGAAAGTGGTTGAATCAGTGGTCGATTATTCAATGTTGGTTCCAAACTTCATAACTATAGTTTAAATAGCCGGTCCTTCAATGTTGGTCCTCTATGAATATACTGAATTTTATAAATTTAGCTATCCATTGATGAATACTACAATTTTGTATGGAATGTGAAATCAAATATTGGTAAATCATGTTTCCTTAATTTTCAAGGTTTTTAATGACTTTAAATGCATCAATAACGATTGATGAGGAAATAATTAATTTAAACTCTCTTATTAAATAAAATTAATGTTCATCTTCAAATTAAATAAAATAAGAAAAACAAATGTACAACAGCCAGGTCTTCACACAAAACTACTATAAGTCTGAGATCTTCAATGAAAAGCAACATAAACAAAAAAGAACAATAGAGGATTAACTTACATCTGACAGAACATAGGACTCTCCACATGATCAAAATAGAGTTGTTTGTAATAACGACAGAGACCTCCAAATTCGCTAACCACAACTTTTTGGACTTTGTTTTCCTTGAGATTGTAACGGATGAAAAAGAACGGCCTGTCCGTATTGGTGTAGAAAGGTGAGAATACAAGCTCACCTGTACTAACTGTACCCCTGAAACTGAATACATGGTTTTTTTCAACTAATTCCCTCCAAATAGGAACAACAATTGAAACTTTAGACCATTCTTGCTTACTGGCATCTTCTAGAACCCACAAGTGAACTTCACCGTTAGCGGTAAGACAACTTGTTATAGCTACTTTTCCAGTGTAGTTCACTAGACGATGGATATCCTCAGGTAACTTAATGACATTAAACTCTTCAGATATCAGATTAAAGCTTATCAAGGCTCCTTTATTTTGTATCCAAGCATAATAATACAGTACCCCATTTATGCATATCCCTTTAGTATAAACACAAGGAGTAGGAGGAAGATGTGGATGCTTACATTCAACCATTCTCCATTTTCGTTGACCTTCTCCAAGAGTGTACACTTGATGCTCCTCAGACACAACTCGTGAATGTGATCCTCGTTTCTGACGACCTTGTAGTACTGTCATGCACAACACTTTGTATACATCATTCACTGGATCATACCCAAAAAAGGATAACACACCTCTTCTTCTAGTTTTGAGTCTAGGCAACGTTAAGAATTGGCCCGTGGTAGGGTTTCCTATGGTCACTCTAGATTCCCTTTGACGGCAGATCAAGCCGCGGATTGGTGGAGAAAAATCATGCACATGCTTCTTATCTGGAGTTATGTTTACCGTATGATGGTCAGAAGATGGATCAACCTGGGAACATGAATGCAAGAACTGCCCTTCCTCAAAGGGGCTGAAGACTGTGAAAAGAAGCCGAGATGAAGATCGAGCCTGCAGGTACTGACTGATAAAATATTTGCCGCTGATTATGGATAACCATTGTTTTGAAACCAAGGCAAGACTAGCTACAGATTTGGTCGGGACTTTCAGGAGAATCTCTACGATTACATCCAGAGGAATAATCGAAAACGGATCGTTTTCATCTTCTTTCAACGTACGACGTTGTTTCCTCTCCTTCCTCTTGACCCTCTTCATGCTTCTATATCTTTTAGACCGACAACAAAACGAAGCCCTAATACTGTATATATATTTACCAAGTTTGGGGATTTGCAAATAAGACCCTCACCTTTCACGGGTATTTCTTTTCAGTGTGGTGTTTAAATATTTGAGAATTTGCAAGATTAGCCTCTTCTTTTCAATGTTGTTTCCCTTTCCTTGAATTTTTTTTTTAATTAGTAGCTCCTTCAAATCTTGCTAATTTCGGTTTTTTTATATATTTTATTTTTGTTCACTTTGGAACTCAGTTTAGCTCTCCCATTTGGTAACAGAGTAACTCTTCATAATTTCCGTTGTCTTTCTTTATTAATGTCATCAAATGGATGGTTCTTCTAAATTCTCTGAATTCTCCAAAATGGTTATGTGGAGGCTGATAGAACTTGTTATAGTAGTTACTTGTACACAAACAAGTTTCTCTAGAATTTTGGATTTACTCAGCCACAGTTAGAAAACATGTAAAAAATATTATCCATCATCATCAATTTCCTTTGATCTTTTTTCTGAGTATGTACTTCTTGTTCCTAAAGACTCGAAAGACAGGACGTGGTTTGAGTTTCTTCTCTATTGCAGTTGCAGGGTTTGCATCTGAGAGATGATATGATGCTGCCTTCTCATCTTGTTCCTACTTGAAGTGTTAGGGGATGAACATGTAGCTGAATACACATGGTCTAGATTAAAAACGCGGTTTCAAATGCTTCTTCTGCATCATGGTAGTCCTCGTGCTCCCTAACCAATAAATCCAATGCTCTCTGCTGATCATTTTCCCGCAAACTCAACTAATTTATCCAAGAAACACAATGTTCTGTCGGACAGAGGATCTAAACACATGGAGAATTCGCTTAAGCAAGAAAATAAGGAGAATAAGCTTTTCCTGAGACTTGAGATCATTAACCTGATTCAAAGCCTCCATCAAACTATTAATCATCTCGTAAAGAAAAACTTGCAAACACGATGCAGCTAGGATCGGGGAGTGCTCTTCGAGTGCAAAGTCCATAAGCTCAGTGGCACATTCCACCGAAGCCAGTTCTCTGTCGCATGGCTCTCGCAGCAAAATTTGTTTACAAACAAATAAAACTTCCAATAAAAGATACTTGGAAACTCCGGTCAGAACACCTATAGCGCTGAAGTCTCTGACAACACGCATAGCTGAAAAGTTCTTTGTATTCAAGTATTCTTTGCAATCTGGCGTTTGATATTTGGGAATTTTCAAGGTTAACCTCTTTTCTTTACATAGCAGAAAATCCATTCTTTGTGTAATGAAAATCTCTACGACAAAATTTAAAGTTGGTTGCTAAAATGGCCTTAAGAAGGTGATAGTCTCATGTGGAACTGAAGTCACTTTTATCATGAATGGTATTGATACTACTATATTAGATTATAGATGAACTAATACCAAATTGTTGAACAAATTGGAACAAAGCAAGGTCAAGAGGCAACCAAATTGATGATGAAGATCACCGAACCATAACAAAACTTTTGGTTCATCTCCAAATATAAACGAATACTGATGCTTGTTATTGGCTTCACACAAAATCAAAACTCATTCTAATCAAGTCATACTTGCATTTGCATACTCCACAAGCATACAAAGCCATTGATGAAAATTAAAGATTTAATCAGTTCCAGTAATAAGGAAGAGTCTGTAAACATGACTCTCAACATGATCATATGGTGATATGTGGAGCAGAGAAACAACACATAAGTGTGCATATCTTGCAGCTGATGAAATCCATCGAAATAGTGGAAATATGGTTTGCTGCTAGAATTAGAGAAGGAGCTTAAAAAACCTTGAATCAAAACTTGTGTTGCATATTCAAGTTGATTCTCACAATAAATTTAAGAATTTGATTGATTATGAAAGAATTCAAATGAAGACTTAAACAATAGATTTTGAAGTATTTTTAATGATTTGACGAGAATTTTAATGAATTTGTCAAATTCTTTTTTTTTTTAGATTTTAAAGAAATACTAATAAAAATGCACAAAAAAGGAAAATAAATTTTAATGATAAAAATAATAAAACATAATCATCTCAATATAATAAAGATTGAAAAAATCATTTTTGTAGTGGGTGAAGGCAGATAAAGTAACAGACGCTATCCCATCAATTAAACCTAGATCGTTCCCCACATAGCACAACTTTAACAAACTAACACAGTGATATAAAGGCATGAAAAACAAGGCAATGTGAATCTCGACTACTGATGGGTAAGAAATTTTGTCCCTTTGGTACTCTTTCTCATCATCTATTTACCATATATAAATTTCATGTATCCTTTCTGGTTTTTATCAATCGTCTTGAGATTAGTCGTTTTGGTTCAGCTTGTTAGTCCAGTGGAAGGGTTTCACTTTGCTTATGTAGTTTTGATTATCATACTAAAGTTCTTAGTGGCGGATCCAAGAGAAAGTTTAACATGTGTCGTAATGTATAGTGTAGGTCTATATTATAATAAGAAAACTCAAATTATAAGAACAAATCTTTTTATTAAAATAAAACAGAACAAAACAGGTATGATGAGGGTTGGAACAAGGATTAGGGGTGTCAGAGGAAGGATAATGTAACCATTTGAGTTGTTTTTCATCACAAAATCTATCTTACATGCCATATTTTTATATTTAACTGGTGTCATTTGACCCCATTTTTCTTACATGAATTCGCCCCTGAGGGTGTAATTTAACTCTCTTGGCAATTGACTATGACCTCAAAAATACAGCCCTTTTGGTTATGTTTTCTCTTTACAAACAGAAGGTATAAGCGACTTGGTCATTAGAAAAGAAGTTAATGGAAAATTACATAAAGTATAACCTCTTCAAATTAATATTCTATAGATTAATATAAACTAAAAATTTCTAGAAAAAATATAATTTTGTAGTCTCAATTTGAGTTTTTGGTTCAATTTGTATATCGACAAATTAATAAAAAAAATATAGTTTTGATGTACTTCCAATATTATTAATTTATAGAGGTTTCAGTGTATGTGTATTTTAGCTTCATGGGCCTCTAGAACTGTAAATCAAAATGTTCGTATTCAATAAGAACAAAGAAGAATAAAGGAAACATATATTATCTAGTATGTCTATACAAAATAACCTCATAGCCAAGAACATGGAAAAGTGTCTATTCCTATCCAAACAATTTTAATCGTGCCAAATATGACCCGAACAAACTGTCAGTGCCAAATACGACCTAAACTAGGTTATAATTTAAAAAAAAAACTACATGGACTTTTTAAAACGTGCCTAAACCTACATTGACGGTAACAGAAGTTAGTCAACCATTAAAATGATAAAATGACCATGCCTTGAACACATGAATTGTTACTCTTTAAAACGGACACATCAACCACTAGACTAAAACAATTTTTTTAAATAATACTACAAATTTACAATTATATATGCTACTATAATTTTAATATTCTCTAATTAAAACTTTGGTTATTATTATTATTATTGATTCTTATAAATATATTAAGATATTTAATAAACTTATAAATACTAAAATATAAATAATAAAGATTTAGCATTATACAAAATTAAATATGTTTCATGTTTTGCAACTATTTACAAAATGTCCATATATAAATTATTTTAAAAATTTTAAACTTGAATGTTAGTTTCTTTGTTTCTCAAAATTAATATAAGTCGAATATACTTTCCCAAAATAAAAGAAATTACCATTCAAGTTTTAAGTTTTTAAAATAATTTCTATATGAACATTTTGTAAATAGTTGCAAAACATGAAATATATTTAATTTTGTATAGTTATAGGAAATAGTTACCGTATCCAATAACAACAAAGAAGAATAAAGGAAACATATATTATGTTAGTATGTATTTGTATACAAAATAACCCAATATCCAAGAACATGAGTACTTTGGGATTGGTTACCATTGGTTTCTAAATGCACCTCCATAACCTATACAATAAGTAAAGAAAAAAGACTTCACATCGTTACATGCTGCATCTTATACAAAACATCAAAAGTTACATAACATCTTATACAAGATTTCAATACTTACTTTGGTAGAAAATTTCATCAAAGTCATAATCTTTGCAACATGACTGAGAGATCTATTCACAGCAAACAGATTGGCTCTCCTTTTGCAGCTTCTCCCAAAGGCACAAAACCAGCCTAGGAGTTTGGTAATGAACAAGAATGTAATTTGGTTTACAGCCACTATTATGAAACCTTTTGTCATTCATGTACTTCACTCTTTTTACTGTCTGGTTGTATTGTTGAATCCATATCCCCATAGCCACATCTTCCAGCTTGAAAAGCTTTCACCAAAACAAAAATAAGAATAATGTTAATTTACCATTTCTTACATTTGAACACTGATAGAATGAAAATACAAAACTCACTCTAAGATCTCTTTCACGGTGACCCTTCACCACAAACTTTGCGATATCCTGAGAGATGATGTAGCCAGGGCCATGTGCCCATGGAGGATATGAATCTAGAGGCCACTCCTTCACAAAGAGAAATGTGCATGATATGAGTCTCTAAGAAGATAGGGCAAAAGAGAAATGTTGAGAACTATTGAAAAGTCACCTCTTTATGAATGTACCATTTGCTGCCTTGCTCACGGTCTGGCGATGAATCAAATGATATCAAACCATACAAAAGTGCACTAGACGGATTGTCCTTTAGATTCAATAACAGTTCATCGATCCGGACAAATGCATCATCATCTGTCTTCATTATGTATTTTGCTTGGATTACTTTGGTCTGTAACAAAATGGAGAAACATTAGAAAGATTATCTCACACTTAAGCATTGGTGTAAGTAGTAACTTACCCCAAGAATGCAAAGAGCAACTGTTTTCAGGCTAAGTAAACCATAGTAATCAACAAAAGGCATAAACTGAATGTCACCATATGTTTTAGCTTCTCTCCACATCTCTAAATTGACTTGCTCGTTAGTGTGCTGAACCCAAAAACACCAAGTTATTACTAAGAAATTTAAAAATATAGAGAGAAAACGTTGACTTGCAGGAGCACTTACAAGGCCAATGAGAAACCGAACAGCGACTTTTCCAGATCTTACTGCCTCATACTGCATCCAAGATCTTCTCAATGCCATACGTCTCTTGAAGTTATTCCCAGTGGAGAAAACACCAACCAGCAATGTTATCCTTGTCCCGGAAAGAGATGGAGCTTTAAGTTTCTCTTCAATAGCTAAAGAAGCATGATGCTCACCAGGAACAGGCAGTCTTGTGGCTGAGACAGATAAAAGTTTCAGACCACCAGAGACTTTCACAGCACTGACTAACCACGGCTCAAGCTTCTCCCTGTAAGGAAATGAAGTCTCGTGCCGCCCATTAACAGTCATATGAAAACCTTGTAAGCCAAACCACAATGTGGCAGTGAAAGGATTGCCTCTGAGAAATGGAAAATCATCCATCATTGCATCTTCGTTGGAACTCTCTTCCAAAGTGATTCTACTTGTCTGTTCGTTGCAGAGAGGAAGCTCATCAACTATACAATGGCCACCAAGAGACTATATCAACAACCCTTTCAAGAGTGTTATAAAAATAGTAAAGATATTATGTTAAAAAGCTAAAGTTTTATTACCTATTTGGTTCTTAAATGATCCATGAGATGGGCATCTCACTTCATTACCCCATCCTAACTTCTCTGTCCATGTATTTTGCACTATGGATGGCTTAGAAAAGTTCACATCATAACGCAAGATGCCTGAGCCAACGAGGTGAATCTGGAAGCTTGTTGAATGTTCATCAGGAACACCAGCAAAAGTGATAGAGGAATCTTCACTTAAACCACACGGGAGCTCAAGTACATTAGACAAATCTGCATTTACAAAATCTGGACAAGCTCTTCTAGCTTTCATAGAGACCATACCAGAAGCTCTTTTCTCTTTGTTGATCAGAGAGACTAAACCTTTCATTGCCAATGCAGCCTCTTCAATCCCTTGACCAGTTTCTGGCAAAGCGTCTAGCCTTTCGAGAAACGGACGCATAAGAGACCACACAAGAAACCCATTAGTTTCATCTTCTTCTTTGTAGTAAACGCTATTGTTTGAAAAGAGGTAATCAAGATCTTCCAAACTGATTAAATGTGGCTTCTTTGCTGGCTCCTGAACACGACTCTCTCCTTCTACATCAAACTCATCAACAGTGTGATTCTTATTTGTAAGTCTATGACCAGGTTGTTCATAAAGGATGATGAAGATCAATGTAAGAATCATGACAGAGATTCCAACCGACCAGTTCCTCATTCTGACTGAAGTGAGCCCAAACTTGAGTTTAAAGAGTGTCATAGATTGCATCATTAGTCACATCCAAGGTTCTGAAGTAGTATAATCTGAATCTCTAACGCCCTGACCATAATTAAACATTGAAAAACTCAGAACAAATGGTCAACCACAAAAAACTTTGGGCTTTAAAACCAAATTGTTAGAGAAAAGAGCAGCCTTTGATGGATACAAGTAGACCCATCAGCAAAAGAACATAGCTAATTGTCATTTATTTAATTATACTCTAAGCAATAACGAGAAAAGTAAGCTATAAGTGAGAGTTATAACAGTTAACTGGTTTAAACTAAAGTTTGTAAGCTTACCTCTTTTCTACTGATGTATGATGAGCTTTCAAAGTAATGAAATCATGGAGATCCAGGATCAGCCAGAGTTTGCAGAACTGAGAGAGACCAGCTGAAACAGAGGATCTTAGACTAGTTGAGAAACGTTGTCGTATTATTAGCGACAAACGATGTCGTTTACTTGTAAGTGAAAACATTGCTTGGTTTAGTTATCCTTCTAACTTTAATTTAATATTAGTCTTCTTACAATTTCACAAAATATACACAGAAGAACATCACATTAATTTAAATCTGCATATATACAACAAAGGAAGTAAATCACTGATTGATAACTAAAACTTATTATAAAAACATACCCACGTTATGCATAATTTATAAAGAAAATTAACAGTGCCAATGTGGCGCCATGCATCATCCCAAGTAATCAAAAGTCAAAACATATAAGACTATGGACAATGGTTCAATTTATTCAACAGCCTCTTTTTATTGTATTTAAATCCACATCACATTTTCTTTTCCACATAATCATTTAATTTTTAATTTTCAAAACTTTATGTGTCAAAATTTAATAAACCAAATCTCTATTTATAGAACATGAAAAATGATGAATTATGATATAAATAACCTTTTTTAAAAAAAAATGTTAACTACAAAATATTTCATTTGAAACAAATAGGGTAGAAAAAATATTAGTAAACTCAACAACCAATTAGAATTTAAAGATTATATTGTGTTTACAAAAAAAAAAAGAAGAATTTTCAACCCTTCACTCTCGTTTTGAAAGCGTAAATGACACAACATATTTTAATTGGTTAATATCTTTCATGTGGATCCCATTATTATGTTTTTAACTAGTTTAATCTATTCAACTAGAATGAATCCACATATTCTTTTTTTCCATTTTCAACACTACCATTGTAACCATTCAACAATTGAATAAATGTTTCAACTAGTCCATTACAGATGGTCTAATGCTATTAAGGAAACAAAATATATGATTCTATGGAATACACTTGTATTATATAGTTTAGATTACCCGATTAGGTAAGACTTTATGAACCCTTCGTCTCTCTCTCCACCCAAGATTCCCAGTTCAGACCAACACATAGACGCATGAGATTCACTCAACAATGGCATCATTTCACGATTCTCTAACCTACTGGCTCGTGAACCATCCTAACATCGCCAATTTCACGTGGATCCAAGGTGAAACATTTGGCTCCACCGTCTTCTTTGTCTTCATCGTAGTCTCCGTTTACCTCTCCACCACATATCTCCTCCGATCCGCTATCAATTCACTCCCTTCACTTGGTCCCAGAATTCTCAAACCAATCACAGCCATCCACAGCCTTATCCTCTGCATCCTCTCTTTAATCATGGCCGTAGGTTGCACTCTCCAGGACCGGCTCTAAGAATTAGGAGGTCTAAGGCGATTTCTTAATGATTTCACCTAATTTTCTTTTTTACGGATTCGAGGGCCTAAAAATATTTTTTTAGGGGCCTCTGTACCTTCCTTCAAAAAATTTGGGGGCCAATGTCAATATTTTATCCGGCTTTGCCCAACACCGGCCATGACTCTCTCTATGACCTCAGACCCGACGTCTCGTTTCTTCAACGCGATTTGCTTTCCCGTCGACGTGAAGCCCAATGGGCCTCTCTTCTTTTGGGTTCAATTCTTCTACCTCTCCAAGATCCTCGAGTTCAGAGACACACTCCTCATCATACTCGGAAAATCAATCCAACGGCTCTCCTTCCTCCACGTATACCACCACGTTTTTAATTCTCCACTCACCATTTCTCTATAGAAAAACCATACTTTCAAAGCAGAGGATATAATGACTTACGTGAGGGTTATTACTCCATTCTCGTTGTCTGCATAGATGCCTATATCAGGATCAGCAGCATCCTTTGAAAGGTCAGGATTTGTAACGCTCAAATAACGCAATGTATCCAATGCATCACTAGCATTGCTGTTGGAAAACAAATAGAAACGAACGTAAGGGACTCAATTACCAAAATACTTTCAAGTGTAAATCAGGAGAGATGATACAAGCTCCCGAAGAAGCACCTCCTTGTTGCTGTACATACTGTTAACGATGAAGTCCATGAGGCGACTAACCTGCCATTTGTATCCAAACATGAGTAACAACCAAACAAAAAAATTTAACCAAACATGAGTAACACACAGAATTGATCACAAACATAAAGTCAACCAAGAAAAAGTGTATCAAACACTGAGAAACACACATAATTGATCATACATAGCAAAAGTCAACGAAACAGAAAAAAGGAACATACTTCAACTTGATATTCAAATATCTCAACTGGAGGAGGAGCTTGAGAGGAAGAGTCTGATGCTGCAGCAGTGGATTCGTACTGGTATCCCATAAACCAATTGGCTTTCATGTCCAAATGAGCCAAGGACTCACTTTTCCTACACTTTCCATTGGTTAAGGACGAGTACCATCTCGATTCAGTGTCACCTCTCTTCGAATCCTGATAGAGAACAAAAAAAATAATAATGACACTTAAGAGTAATCCAATTAGCCAATAGCCAAACTTGGCAGTGTAATCCAGTTACATAATCATTGGTTTAAAAATACACGACACTTATACCAAACAAAACGGAACATATATCTTCAATGATTTGTCTAAAAATGATATTAGCACTTCCAATGCGACTTTCTTGAAGAATTTCACGGGAAACATTAAGAGGAAGATCGTGCGAGTCCACAACACCCTTGTTAGTGTGCTGTGAGACCAGTACATAATCACTCCCACTCCCAGCAGCATCATTTCTCTTAACCCCTCTTGTTTTCCCCCTTCTTCTCTCCTTCGGCTTCAGGATCAGTCTCAACTTCTTCTTTTGGGGGTTTTAATGTGGGGGCTTTGCGCTTGGATCGGAAATATCAGACCGAACCCTTGTGACACAGAACAGTGACAGATCGTTTGAGTTGTTCAACCTTAAGCGACTGTTCCTTCGTAAACTCCTCAGGAGTGCTGATTATCTTCAGGTTGTAAGATAGTATAGTCGCTTGTTTCTGAGCGGGCACATTACTAACAAAAATTTGTCTTATACTCGCCCGACGCCAAGCCATACCGACGTTATCGCGATTCACATGCATTGGAGGCATCCTCTTGAAGTTCTTCATGAAGAATAACCAATGAGCTTTGAGATCCGTGACTAATTTGTCTGTCTGAAGCCATGGAGGGGTAAGGAGGACATTGATGTAAAAAGTGGGAATTCCTACATTGAGACCGTCCTTTTCTTTGGTAATAGCAACAAAGCAGCAGTCATGTCTCTATTCTTCCGTAAAAAACCCATCAAAGTAATGAAACGCATAGCTTCGGTTCGAGTTATCCTCTGCGATATGTCTATGATCTGTAGAACAATACGGTAACGTATCCAAAGAGGCTGGCAAGCTTCAGCCCATGAGGGAACATGTGTTGTTCATATGCCTCAGGCTACTGAAAGCACAAGGAATGGCTAGAGCATTCAGAACATGATCGCCTACGGGAACGGATTGAGCATTCAGAGCAGAAACGTCTAAGGGAACGGCTAGAGCGAGCAAAGCCTCTGCAACATCCTGGGTTAGGTTCACCGGGCCCACACAATCCACACACACAATGATTGTGCATGTGAGTAACAAGTTGGTCTATACATCAGTGGTCAAGATACATATTGCATCGTTTTTTTCATGCCTCTGCATCACTTTGGTTAATTTGTTAAAGTTGTGTTGCGTGGGAAATGATCTTAGTTTGTTTAATGAGATAGCGTTTGTTACTTTATTTACCTTCACCACTACATTAGAATGACTTTATCCATCTGTAAGGAATTGAGATGATTATGTTTTTATTATTTTTATCTGTAAAATTTGTGTTCCCTTTTTGTGCATTTTTATATAAAGATTCAAAAGTTCATGAAACTTGAAAAAATTGGTTCCTATCCAAATTTAATTTGTATTCCTTTAAATCTAAAAAGAAAGAATTAACAAAATGCATTAAAATCCTCATCAAATCGTTAAAAAAATATTTCAAAATCTATTGTTTATGTCTTCACTTAAATTCGTTTATAATCAATTAAATTCTTAAATTTCTTGTGTGAACTCACTAGATATCACCCTGATATGCTGATACTGATCCAACTGTTAAATCCACCGTTTCCACAACAACAACAAAAAGTTAAACCTTTCTTTTGGCCGCTTTGTTATTTTTATCTTGTTTGGTATTTGTTTTTACTTTTAATTTGCCTTCTACTATATTTTTTTATTTTAATGCATAGATGCATCATGCACTGATATAGTATGAATATTAAAGAGATTTGAGACCTTAGGTGTTCCAGCTTCTCTAGAAAAAAAAATTATAAGGGTTAGTCCAAAAATTAGGTTGTTTATGAAGTTATAATAAATTACTCGTTGGAAACTTAAAAATTATGCTCATGCACCATGAAAATATGTTTAGAATGTATTAATATAAATTTATAGTGTGGTTAGGTATTAGCAACACCAAAGAATTTAAATCGTATAGATAGTATTTATTGGAAAACTCAATATTTTCGAAGAAGGTTAGCCCACAAACTTCAAGATAAATGTAAAAATATGATATTTTTCTTTTAATGAATATCTGCATCATGCACTAACATAATATGAATATTAAAGAGGTTTGATACCGTAGGTGTTCAAGTTTCTCTAGAAAAAATAAATTTTATAGGGGTTAGTCCACTAATTAGGTCATTTATGGAATTTAAATACATTACTCATTTGAAAAGTAGAAATGATGCCCATGTACGTTGAAAATATGTTTAGAATACATTAATATAAATTTAGAGTGTGGTCAGGTATTTTTAAAGCAACACTAAAGAACCTATATCAAATAGTTAGTATTTATTGGAAAACTCAATATTTTTCGAAGGGGTTAGCCCACCCAAATTTCATGATAAATTAAAAAAATATGATATTTTTGTTTTAATGTATAGCTACATCATGCACAGACATAGTATGAATATTAAAGAGGTTTGAAACCTTAGATGTTCTAGTTTCTCTACAAAACAAATTATAAGAGTTAGTCCACTAATTAAGTTGTTTATGAAGTTAAAATAAATTACTCGTTGGAAAATTAAAAATGATGCTCATGTACCATGAAAATATGTTTAGACTACATTAATATAAATTTGTAGTGTGCTTAGGTATTTTTAAAGAAAAACCAAAGAACTTAAATCGTATAGATAATATTTATTTGAAAACTCAATATTTCGAAGGGGTTAGCCCACAAATTTCAAGATAAATTTTAAAATATGATATTTTTGTTTTAATGTATAGCTTCATCATGCACATACATAATATGAATATTAAAGAGGTTTGAGACCTTAAGTGTTCAAGTTTCTCAAGAAAAAATAAATTTTATAGAGGTTAGTCCACTAATTAAGTTGTTTACGAAACTTAAATAAATTACTCGTTGGAAAATTAGAAATGATGGCATGTACATTAAAATATGTTTAGCATACATTACTATCAATTTAGAGTGTGGTTAGATATTTTTAAACCAACACTAAAGAACATAAGTTGAATAGATAGTATTTATTGGAAAACTCAATATTTTCGAAGGGGTTAGCCCACCCAAATTTCAAGATAAATTAAAAATATGATATTTTTGTTTTGATGTATAGCTGCATCATTCTCTGACATAGTATGAATATTAAAGAGGTTTGAGATCTTAGGTGTTCAAGTTTTTCTAGACTAAAAAATTATAAGGGTTAGTCCAAAATTTAGGTTGTTTATCAAGTTAATATAAATTACACATTGGAAAATTAAAAAATGTGTTTAAAATGTATTAATATAAATTTATAGTGTGGTTAGGTGTTTTTAAAGCAACACCAAAGAACTTAAATCGTATACATATTATTTATTGGAGAACTCAATATTTTCGAAGGGGTTAGCCCACCCTTTCAAGAAAAATTAAAAAATATGATATTTTTGTTTTAATGCATAGTTACATAATGCACTGACATAATATAAATATTTGAGAGGTTTGAGACCTTACGTGTTCAAGTTTCTCTAGAAAAAAAAATTATAAGGGTTAGTCTACTAATTAGGTTGTTTATGAAGTTAAATTAAATTACTCGTTTGAAAATTAAAAATGATGCTCATTTACCATTTAAATATGTTTAAAACACATTAATATAAATTTATAGTGTGTTTAGGTATTTTAAAAGAAACACCAGAGAACTTAAATCGTGTAGATAGTATTTATTGGAAAACTCAATATTTTCGAAGGGATTAGTCCACAAATTTCAAGATAAGTTAAAAATATGATATTTATGTTTTAATGCATAGCTGCACTATGAACATACATATGACTATTAAAGAGGTTTGGGACCTTACGTTTTCAAGCTTCTCTAGAAAAATAAATTTATAGGGGTTAGTCAACTAATTATGTTGTTTATGAAGTTAAAATAAATTACTCGTTTGAAAATTAAAAACGATGCTCATGTACCATGAAAATATGTTTAGAATACATTTAATATAAATTTATAGTGTGGTTAAGTATTTTTAAAGAAACACCAAAGAACTTAAATCGTGTAGATAGTATTTATTGGAAAACTCAATATTTTCGAAGGGGTTAGTCCACAAATTTCAAGATAAATAGAAATATGATATTTTTGTGTGTTTAATACATAGCTGCATCATACACTGAAATAATATGAATATTAAAGAGATTTGAGACCTTTGGTTTTCAAGTTTCTCTAAAAAAATAAATTTTATAGGGGTTAGTCCACTAATTAGGTTTTTATGAAATTTAAACAAATTACTTGTTGGAAAATTGGAAATTATGCTCATGTACCATTAAAATATGTTTAGAATACATTAATATAAGTTTAGAGTGTGGTTAGTTTTTTTAAAAACAACACTAAAGAACCTATATCAAATAGATGGTATTTATT